TTCTTTATCATTAACCTTCCATTTTCCTTAAGCTAGTTCAAGTTGAGTTGCTCTCATTGGCAACGCTGCCAGAATACATAACTAGTATTATAACCATTTCCATTACATGATTCATGAAAGAAATGCAATACTAAGGTTTAAAATAGATTTTTCATTAGATCCATATACCTACCTACATCTTCTCAGATAATTACAAGTGCTAATAAATCTTACAGTTTAAATTGTCTCCCTTACTTAAAGACTCAAAGTCCTTGGATAATATAATTTAACACCTACTAAATTTTTAAAAAATCCTTACCTGAGGATATTTTTCGAGAGAGTGGAAGGGAGGGTGGGGGGGGGGGAGAGAGAGAGAGAGAGAGAGAGAGAGAGAGAAGAGAGAGAGAGAGAGATACATTGACCGGTTGTCTCCAGCATGACCCCAAAGGGGCCAGGAATTGAACATGCAACCCAGGTATGTGCCCTTGACTAGAAATGAAACCCTTAACCCTTCGGTCCATGGGCTGACACTTGAACTGCTGAGCCAAACTAACCAGGGCCGCACTAACATTTTCAAAATGTTTTTTGGTATAGGTACTTGCTAAATCTTCATTTCTAAAATTTAATTTATTTATTTTTATTACAGATGGTTTTCCTTTTTCCCCCATTGACACCCTCCTCCTGACCCCTCCCCCCCAGCATAGTTGTCTATGTCCATTGGTTATGCATACATGTATGTAAGTTCTGTGGTCTATCTCTTCCCTTCCCCCATCCTCCTCTTCTGAGGTTTGTCCATTCTGTTCATCAGTTTGTTTTGTTCATTATATTCCATAAATAAATGAGATCATGTGATAATTGCCTTTCTCTGATTGGCTTATGTCGCTTAGCATAATACTCTCCAGGTCCCTCCATGTGTCTTAAAGGGTAAGAGATCTTTCTTTCTTACATAGTATTCTATTGTGTATATGTACCATATATATGTTGATCTGTTGATGGACACTCATCTGTTGATGGACACTGGCTATTTCCAGATCTTAGCAGTTGTAAATAGTGCTGCTATGAACATAGGGGTGCATATATTCTTTCTGATTGGTGTTTCAGCCTTCTTAGGATATATTCCTAGGAGTGGGATTACTGGATCAAATTGTAGTTCAATTTTTTTTTTTTTTAATCCTCACCCGAGGACATTTTTTCATTTTTTGTTCAGATAGAGTGGGAGGGAGAGAGAGGGAGAGAGAGAGAGAAACATCAATGTGAAAGAGACACATCGAGTGGCTGCCTCCCTCACGACCCAACAGGGGCCAGGAACAAACTGCAACAGAGGTACGTGCCCTTAGAGGGAACTAAACCTGGGTCTCCCAGGACTGAAGGCCGACGCTCTAACCACTTAGCAAACCAGCCAGAGCGTAGTTCAATTTTTTGTTGTTGTTGTTCAGGTAGAATGGGAGGGAGAGAGAGGAACAGAGAGAGAGAGAGAGAGAGAGAGAGAGAAACATCGATGTGAAAGGAACACATCGAGTGGCTGCCAACCGCATGACCGACCAGGGCTGGGGACAAACTGCAACCGAGGCACGCGCCCCCAGTGGGAACCGAACCCGGGTCTCTCAGGACCGCAGGTCGACGCTCTAACCGCTGAGCCAAACCGGCCAGGGTCGTAGTTCAATTTTTAAAACACCATATTATTTTCCATAAATCTTCATTTTTATATACACAACTATATATTGCTAGATATTATTTTCTTCATCCTTTTTAGTGATTTTGGTATTTTTCAATTGAATAGCTGAAATAAAGGAAGGTTCTGACATAAAAAATCATTTGTTGCCCTGGCTGGTTTGGCTCAGCAGCTAGAGTGTCCGCCTGCGGTCCAGAGAGACCCGGGTTCGGTTCCCACTAAGGGCATGTACCTTGGTTGCAGTTTGTCCCCAGCCATGGTTGGTTGTGTGGGTGGCAGCCACTCGATGTGTCCCTTTCACGTCAATGTTTCTCTCTCTCTCTCTCTTCCTCTCTCTCCCTTCCACTCTATCTGAACAAAAAAATGGGAAAAAATGTCCTTGGGTGAGGACAAAAAAAAAAAAAATTATTTGTTTTTTAAAAGTGTATTGGGAACTTTTGTAACTTGAAACATACTTTTCCATCAAGATAGTTTTGCTATTGATAGTGGTAGGTTATTTTGGTTGGCACATGAAAACTACTTAACTAATGTTGGTAAAATTACCACTCTCCCTTTAAGTTGATCTTTCCACATGATTCGCCTTTAGCATTTCCTTTTTCCATTAATATTTCAGCCACACCACTTGATAAATTAAGTTTTGTTGTCCTCCTGGAAGTCAAACAATCATTTTAAATAATATTTCTATTAAATATTGAGTTGAAACTTGAAATACTAAAAACACATTTCCATATCCTAGTCTCAGAGAAAGGAATTACTTTGACTTAAAAAATTTTTCTTAAGCCATTTCAGCCCCTAACTACCTCCACAACACAGGATGGGTACATTAGGTAATTACTTGAGCCATATGCATGGAAATTGTTTTTGAAAAATAAGTAATTAATAGAGAACTAAAAATGAAGCAATTCTTGAACATCATCTCCTAGTGCATAAAGCCATATATAGACTAAAGATAGTTTAGAGGTGTAAGGTCAAAATTAGAAAAAAATTGTATCAATAGGTAGGATGTCTATAATTAATAAGATATATGTAAAACATTTAAATTATAAATAATTGATACTTCCCCAAATTAAAAGTATTAAACCAATAGCATACTTTATTTTTATTTTTAAAATTTTTTTTTCTTTATTGATTTGAGAGAGAGAAGAAGGGAGAGGGAGAGAGACAGAAACATCAATGAGAGAGAACATTGATCAACTGCCTTCTGCATGCCCCTCACTGGGGATTTGGCCCACAGCTTGGGCATGTGCTCTGACTGGGCATCAAACCGGCGACTTCTTGGTGCGTGGGTCGATGCTCAACCACTGAGCCACACTGGCCAATAGCATATTTTAGAAGTGGGAATATATAAGAAGCTAAATTTCAATTCCAAGTGGCTGATAGCAAACTCAGAAGCTATATGAAATGTTGGAAAGTTAAGGTAAGCCATATAATATTGTCCAAAACTAGTCTCACTGAAATTTTCCAACTAGTATTTGGAGAGCACAGTGCTTGTTTTTTTTAAGACAATGTTAGCAGGAAGAATTCTGCATTATAATCTGGGGGAAAATGTCAACAATATTTAATAGCCTTGGCTTAAATGCCCAGATTTAACAAGTTTGAAGTTCAAGTTCACCAGACACACACAAAATAATTTTCTTAGCAAACTATAGTGATATGAACCTACAGGTTATGGATGCTCACAGAACTTGGTCATATATATAGTAACTCATGTAATTGGTGATGAAGTGATAATTAAGTTTTTCTGGGTTTCAATATAAAACTTTTTAAAAAGGTTGAATTGGATTACTCAGAGCCAGCCAGAAACCACAACCTGGAACTGTGGTTTCAAGTTCAAACCAATGCCCGGAGTTCAAGACTGTTTTTAAAGGAGGTTGCCGGGAGAAAATAGCTTTGGCACTATATATATATATTTTACTTGAATCTCACAGATACCAATGGCACACACACAGACACACACACACACAGAGCTTACCTAAAATATAGACATTTTAATAGTTTTTAGTAGAATGGTATTTCATTTGATCCTTCAATGACAACTCTTGCTTATAGCCAGCTTTTGGCACAATGCCTAATTCAATAAATATTTACTGAACTAATGACAATGATAAAGAATGAATGTCAATTGAACATAAACGGTGACAGAGGGAGAAATTGTATAAAAGCAATGAAAGTTTCTGCTCTAGATTTACAGTCCAAGCTCACTTGCAGAAGTGCAAAATATTGCCTTTGTGTTACTCCTCAATAAAGCAATTTTCTTCGCAAGGAAGGATCACTAACTCCCTATTCCTCAATGCTGTTTATGCTGTTGATTGTGTAGGTCCTCGCGTACCAAATGAGGTTGAGAGTGGGATAGGTGGTTGTGGTTCAAGTATCTCAGGTAAAAATTAAGGGGCCAATTGTTGCCGTGTTCAGGCTTGGCCTGTAATTGTTCACAATGCTCACAGGTTTTTGAAGTTTAAAAACAGGCATGTGACATGCTTTTCGGGCCCTTTGTCAAAACGTTTGTCTGAGCCCTACTTTTGTATGACCTTACATGAGTGTTTATTATGCCAACTCTGTATGTGCAAGGGGAAAACCAGGCTCAGGGTGGTGACAAGCTGAATCAGGAGCGAGGCAAAGGGGTGAAGTGTGTGGAGGAGGAGAAAGACGAGAGGGAGGCAGAGGGAGAGAGAAGCTGCTGTCCTCAGGATCCCTCTCCGGTTTGCTGTTTGCCAACTAGCTGTCTCTCCGCCCCACAGCAGAGATCCGAGGCGAGTATTTGGCAGATTCAGGCAAAGCAAAATAACACAACAGACCTTCAGGTTACAGAATTTGAGAGTCCCTGGGCGGGAATCCTTGAGCCCCGCCAGCTCCCTTGGAGAGCTGTCCATGGTGCTGACCGCATCCTCACCCACTCCCCTCCTGACTTTGGAGGCTGCACGCACCAGAGTAGCGGCCCCCCTCGGTGGTCCAGGCCCAGGGAAGCCAGGGGCTGAGCGGGTCGCGCTGCCCGCACATGCTCAGTGCGGCTCGGTCGGTCTCAGGTGCGGATGCCGGGGCTCTCCGGACTGGGCACCTGTTTTGAATCACGGCGCGAGGAGCTGTGGGGGCGGCGGGGTGGGGGTGGGGGCGGGGCGGCGTCACGTGCGGCGGCGGCCCAGGAAGGTTCCATTTCTTCGGCGGCCGGCGCCCGCGGCGCTCGGGGCCCCTCCTCCGCCCCGCCCCGCCGCCCCGCCCGCGGCTCCCATCCCGGTCCCGCAGCCCGGCGACCGCGGGGCCGGTCCCGCCCCTCCCGCTGGCGGCCTCGCGCGTCCTCCGCCCTCACGCCCGCCCGCGCACCCGCGACCCAGTTGGTGCGGTCCACGGCGAGCACATCATGGCGATTGAAGGTAAGTGGAGGCCGACCGCGGGGAGGCAGGGGGACGCTCCGGCAGGGCGGCTCGGGGGCGCCCCGGAGGCCGCGGCGCGGGTGGGGCCGTCTCCTGAGGGCGGGGGGCGGGCTGAGGAGGCGCCGGGGTCCCGACCGCGTCCCAGGAGGCGGGTGGGCGGAGCGGCGCCGCGGGTCCGCCAGACTCTCGTTCGCGCTCGGCCCTCGCGGGTCCGTCGGCCTCGGCCCGTGGCCCGGAGCGGGGGGGAGCGGTCCGGCTGACGGGTCCAGTGCCGGGGCCGCCGCTTCCTCCTGGCGGCGCTCCGGTGTGGTGTTGCCGACCCCGCGGGACCGGCTGGGGAGCTCCGGCCGCGGGGGGCACCCCTGTCCATCGACCTCGCTCCAGCAAACCGTCCTCCCGCAGTACCCGCCTTCCCGCTGAGCTGGGGGTCCAGTTTCGTCGTCCCAGCCCTCGCTCGCCTCAGTCCTTGCCCCGGGGCCGGCGCTGGGCTGCCTGCGCTCTTCGTCCACCCCCTTCTGTGGGCGCGGGCCAGGGAATTTGCAGCGAGGTTCATTTCCTCCGCAAGTGTTGTTTTCCTAACACTCTAAACTGCTTTTTTTCCTCTCTACGAAAGAGGGGTAGACACATCTTTACAGCAGATACACACCCTTAGAGTCCTGTGTATATTTCAGCCCATTAAGTGTCCTAGTGCCAACAGTACTCATTTTCAAAACGGAGCTTAGTAAATTAAGTTCCTAGATAAGGTAGTTGGCATTAAGGCGTATTTTTCTCTTGTTTCAAAAGCATGTAACTGGAATGAAGTGTCTACATTTTGCTTGTTTTTAATGAGGATATTGTGAAAATTAGTATCACACGTCTGGGATACTTAGGTGAAAGACTGCAGCATTTCCAGCTCCTGTCTCTTAGATGAACTCAAACAATGAAAGGAGTTTGTAAATTTCTGTGTGTGTGTGTGTGTGTTCATCTGTACAGATGTGCAGGGTACCTATACTGTATCGTTATTAACCTAAATTTTATGTAATCCCTTTAAGTAAAACTTTTCAAAGCACTTTTCATCTTGCTGATTAGTCACTAGTAGTGTACATTTTGGGGGCTCCTTTTTGTCAGATCTTTGGACTCCAAAATTGCTTTAGCTGTGTGTTTACATTTGTCTTACTCACTGAAGAGATTAGCTGGACAGTCAGACAGTTTTAAATATCTACTTTAGCTAAAATGAGGAGCATCGGAAATGATTTACCTGTAATCCTTGATGTTCTTGTTTTCCAGACCAGCAATTTCAACCTTTTTTTCTCACTATATTTTTTACTAGAGGTTAAAAATCAAGAAGCTAGTCTTGATCAGTTTGGCTCAGCGGTGTGTCAGCCTGCGGACTGAAGGGTCATGACTAAAGGGTCATGGGTTCAATTCCTGGTCAAGGGCATATACCTAGGTTGCAGTTTTCATCCCCAGTCCTGGTTGGGGTCATGGTCCTGCTGGAGGCAACCAATCGATGTGTGTCTCTCACATTGATGTTTCTCTCTCTGTCTCCTCCTCCCTCCCTTCCACTCTAAAAATTAATGGAAAAATATCCTCGGGTGAGGCTTAACTAACTAACTAACTAAATAAATAAATAAATAAAACATTCAGTCACTTAATTCTCCTAATTCAGTAGACTTATTGAGCACTAGTTGTACTCAGTGTTCTGTGCTAGACACTGGGGGCCTATAAAGATGAATAAGACCACGTTCCTGACTTCAAGAAGCATATGTTCTAGTGGGGGAGACAGATAATTGTAACAATGCAATTACAATGTGAACGCTAAGAGATGGGTCATTCTTCTTTTGTATAAAACATTCAATGATGTTGAGTTTATTGAATTCATATGCCGATGAACATTGAACAGTATGTGTCAGTGTGGAACTATTAATTTTTTTTGTCAATCCTCACCCGAGGATATTTTTTCCATGGATTTTTAGAGAAAGTGGAAGGGGAGGGAAGAAGGGGGAGAGAGACACACACACACATTGACTGGGGATCCAACCTGCAACCCAGGTACATGCCCTTGACCAGGAATCAAACCCATGACCCTTCAGTGTACAGGCTGACCCTCTAATCATGGAGCCACACTGGCCAGTGCAGTGTGGAACTGTAATTCTTACAGCTCATAAAGTCTTTGGATTTGACCAAAAATCTGCCATTCAGTAATGTTTATCTATATATTCATTCTAGTTCTGCTTTCTGGAGCAATAAATTACAAGTTCACTGTTCTCATGTGCATGACATCTCTCATTTGAATACAACTCTTAAGCATTTTCTTTTCTAGACAGAATATCAAATTCTTACTCTGGATGGTCTGTAGTTGTATGTTTCAAAATTTGGAATATGATATTCTATTCCAGATGTATATTGAATAGTGTACATTAAAACTTATACCACTCCCTGACCTGTGCATACTATTCAAGTAGCTTAATATTGGAATAGCCTTTTTGGAATAGCTTGTGGGCTTAGGGTGAAGTTGCAGTCAGCCTAAACCACATAAGGAATCTCTTTCACCTGGACTCCTTTTCAGTCATGTATCTTTAATCCCTTGCCTAGCTAACCAGTGTTTTGAATTGAAAAACAGATCATTTATTTCTGTTAGGCATACTCTTATTAGCTTTGGCCCAACATTTTAGCCATGAATGTAGACTTTTAAGTACCAAGGGTCACTTTTATTTCCTCCTCTATGTAAAATTTTCATTTTACAATACCAAGTAATCATTCATTTTCTTTGCTCAATCAGACAGGTAAGTAACTACTAATCAGGTACTTTAGACAAATATAATAAGAAAATGGTGTTACCACTCTGAGCTAAAATATTTTAGTAAGAAGTGAAGAATTGTCCTATCATATGTAAAGGTACAAGTTTTAAAAGGCATTTTGAAATATTAAGAGTAGTTTACAGATCCATATTGTTACCCTAAATGTCTGGTTATATCAAATTGGGAATCATTAGTTTAGCCTAGCTCAGCGGTTTTCATCTAATGTCACACATAAACTAATTACTAAAATTTTGCAGCACACCAAAAAAATTATTTTTGCCGATCTGACAAAGAAATAGGTGTAATTTTGACTGATTTGCAAAATACTACTACTAATACTAAATACTGTATCTACCTTTTTTGCCTCAAAGTGACTTTTTAAATTTTTTTTCTATATTGATTTTAGAAATAGAGGAAAGGAGAAGGAGAAAGAGAGAGAAACATCGATGAGAGAGAACATCAGTTGGCTGCCTCCTGCATGCCCCCCCACTGGGGATTTGGCCTACAATCTGGGCACATGCCCTGACTGGGAATTGAACCAGCGACCTCTTGGTGCATGGGTGGACACTCAACCACTGAGCCATGCTGGCTAGGCAAAGTGACTTTTAAAAAAAATCAGGTGCCTATAGTTGTATTTAAGGATTTCTGGTACCAAGAATTGACCAATCAGATACAACCTATCATGTGATATGATCAGGAAGATGAAACTCTGTTATATGACCTATATACTTATAGTTCATGATGGGGCATTTACATCGGATGGCTATTGTTGTGTTGGTTGTTGTCTTTTTTTAAAATTTGACAATCTAAGGGAAAAGAGGTCAGTGCCCCTGACCAAATAATCAGGTACGGTTGTTTCTCGTTTATTTTTTATTTTTATTTTTTTTCAATCCTCACCTGAGGACACTTTTGCATTAATCTTCAGATAGAGCGAGAGGGAGAGAGGGAGGAAGAAAGAGAGAAACACCGATGTGAGAGAGACACATCAAGTGGTTGCCACCCAGGCAACCCCAACCAGGGTCGGGGACAAACTGCAACTGAGGTACGTGCCCTTAGCGGACACCAAACCCGGGTCTCTCTGGACCGCGGGCTGATGCTCTAACCGCTGAGCCAAACTGGCCAGGGCTCACCTAATATTCTTTGTGTTTTCATTCCCAACCCTATTCTCATTCTACTTTATACACACTGCTGTAATTGCATGCATTTAATACTTTTCGAATCACTTGTTTATAAATTTTTATTCTTTGACTGTAAATTCCTAGAGGATAACGTCTTATTTGTTTTTGTACTACTTAGATTTTTTTACTGTATCTGAATATAGTGTGTGTGTGTGTGTGTGTGTGAAAGAGATCCTAGAAGTTTGTTTTTAAATCAATTCCTAATAACAGATTGCTGTGTTGTCACTATTTTCTCTTTCTAAAAAATGGTAAATCATTGCCCTGGCTGGTTTTGCTCAGTGGTTAGAGTGTCGACCCATGGTCCAGAGAGCTCCAGGTTCCGTTCCCACTAAGGGCACGTACCTTGGTTGCAGTTTGTCTCCGGCCCCGGTTGGGGTTGTGTGGGTGGCAACTACTAGATGTGTCTCTCTCAAGTTGATGTTTCTCTCTCCTTCTTCCTCCCTCTCTCTCTTCTGCTCTATCTGAAGATAAATGCAAAAATGCCCTCAGGTGAGGATTAAAAAAAAAGGTAAATCAATGGTTCCAATTTGTTAGGTTTCTTTTTTTTTTTTTATCCTCACCCGAGGATATTTTTCCATTTTTTGCACAGATAGAGTGGGAGGGAGAGAGAGGAAGGGAGAGAGAGAGAGAGAGAAACATCGACGTGAAGGGACACATCGAGTGGCTGCCACCTGCACGACCAACCAGGGCCGGGGACAAACTGCAACCGAAGTACGTGCCCTTAGCGGGAACCGAACCCGGGTCTCTCCTGACCGCAGGCTGACGCTCTAACCACTGAGCCAAACTGGCCAGGGCCAATTTGTTAGGTTTCAATTAAGATTTTACTGCATATATAAAATATGCATATAATCATTTTACATATAACCATTACAATAAAAGCTTGTAGTGTTTTATTTATAGTAGTTTGTCCAATCCTATAGGGGCATTTTCATGTTAGGTAGTAACTGGCTAGGATTTGTGGCAGAAAGAATGAAGTCAGCTAAATGGAAATTGAATCCATGAAGACAGTCTACTATACTACTACACACATGCTATGTACAAA